TCTGCAACACACAAAGGCGAGTTGGAGTACCAGAACTGATTGAGACCAAGCAACGTGACAATGAGTCTATTACTGATTTCATTGTAAGATGGCGAGCTTTGACATTTGCTTGTCCTCAAAAGTTTACGCAATTAGAGTTAATTCGGATGTGCCCTAACAACTTCCGACATGAGCTCTCTATGGCTCAAACTTTTGAAGGATTCAATGATCTATGCACTAAAGCTCATGATATGGAGCTGCATCTAGCTAAACGAAGGAGGCCTAGGGCCGTTGAAAGGGTTGAGTCCTCGACTGCAGCTACAATCGAAACCAGAAAGAAGGGTCCCGTTGTAGTAGGGGCTAAAAAGCCCAAGGAATTTAAAAAGGTGACTATGAAAGAGAGGTTGGAGAAGAAATATTCTTTCATGGATGATTTGGTCGAAGACCTATTTGAAGATCTGTTGGAGCAAAAGTTGATTGCTCTCCCTGAGGTGAAAAGACCACATGAGGTAGGAAAGACGAACGATCCAAAGTATTGCCCCTACCATCGTTTGATTAGCCATCCGATAAAAGAGTGCTTTGTTTTGAAAGATAAAATTCAGGAACTTTTGGACTCTAAAATTATCAAACTCCCTCCTCAAGAGAAAGTATCTGCTAACCCAATCACTATCGATAATGGTAATGAAGGTGAATGGGTTGTTTATCAGTCAAAAAGCCTAAAGAAAAAACAAAATGCCACAGTGAAAGCTAGAAGTGTGGTTGATTCAACAACACAAGGGCCAAAAGTTTCCAAAAAGCAAAAGCCAAAAGTTTCTAGGAAACAGAAAAAAGCCAAAGTAAGTAAGAGAAAAGGAAAAAAGAACCCAAAGAAGGAAAAAGGGGAGAAATTGGTCCCCGATGAGCAGTTAGAGCAAGGTCCTCTTGTCCCAGTCACGTTGGAGGAATTTCTACCTTAAAAATTTCAATATGTGGAGTTGCAGGCATACTTTGATAAAAGAAGGGAGAAAAAGTTTACTTTGACCCCTTGCCTAACCATCATTGTTTTGAGTGATGGCGAGGAAGATGAGGGTGAAGTTGGTTCAAAAGTTAGGGAAGGGGATTGCATTACATCTCCTATCTGTATACCTGACTCACCAAAGTATACACCAACTTCTCCGGAATACACACCAGCCTCTCCAGAATATACACCAGCTTCTCTAGAGTATACACCAGAAGCCTTTTCTCCAGAGTATTCGCCAGTACCACCAATGTACTATCAAAGCACTCCAGAATATGTAAGGGGAACAGAACAAAGAGACGCTGGGTGTAGGTCTGACTCTGAGCTTGTGAAAAAGGCGAAAAAATGACTACACTTCAAGGATGATGAGGTGAATGGAAGGTGCAAGTCGGATGATGAAGTATGGAAGCATTCAAGTAAACAAGCAAAGTCATCTCAAGTTGAGGATCCTAATGAAGATTGGGAACTTGACTTTTCCCCTGATGGTTCACCATACACATCCCCAGCTAGGACATACGATGGAGAAAGTGTATCAAGTGACCACTTTAACTTTCCTTGTAATGTCATCACTGTAGACGTAAATTTTGAAGAGCGAGAAATACATATCATTCGCAATCCAGGTGATGATGAGAAAGCAAAAATTGAAGCTAGAAGGGAAACGGAACATCAGGCAAAAGTAACAGTCTCTTTGAAAGATGAGGGTTTTGAAGCCCATCAAAATTTGAGTATTGAAAGAAATCAAATTTCTGGACACCCTTTCCCTAATTGGGTCGAATGGGTTCAGTTCCCACGAGGATATGCAGTACCTCATTTTCCTTTATATAATGAGACAGGTTGTCCAAGGCGCCATTTGGTTTGTTTCCTTGCACAATGTGGAAACACAGCGGATTTGTACTTCAGCCTGCCACCTAATTCAATCCCAGATTGGGACACCATGGCTGATCGATTCTATAGGACATTTTATAAACCATGGCCAATAGAAATTGAGATGTCAGAACATTTGGATGACGAAGGTACATCTTCTCAAACATATGATTCCATAGAAGGCACAATTGAGGAGAGGATTGAAACTACCCTTGACCTTCGAGAGATGGGCACTTATCGCCCAAGGGATTTGTTCCCTTTATGGGTAGAGCAAACACCATTTCCTGAAGGATACGAACTTCCAAATTTTGTCCTATATGAGGGGTATGGAGATCCTCAAAAACATATTAGGCGTTTTTTGAAATAGTGTGGGGAAACAGCTCAAAATGAAGCACTTTGCCTAAAACAATTCCCCCTTTCCTTAGAGGGGATCGCCTTTGACTGGTATTACTCCCTCGATGGAGTCATGGTGCCTAGTTGGGAGGCCATGAAGAATGGTTTTGAAGAATCTCAATGCTTTTATAGGCGTGGCTTCCGGTACCTAAGAAATGGGAGAAGAATGCAGCTCCAAGAAGATGGAGAAGTGACTGATGATGATGATCACCCTGCAGCTGGACCAGTTAACATGGCCCAAATAAGTGAGGGAATAAAAGAAGTTGAGGTCAACGAACAGGCGGTTGCTGAAGTATGCCAGACTTATTTGACCTACCAGAGGAAATTACGAAATCCTCAGGACCCTCAAACGTCGGAAGTTCCACAAGTTTTGCTGGAGGAAGAGCAAGTGAAATATGATGTATTAGCTCATCTAAAGAAAATTCTAGCATTGTTGAGCGTATATGATGCACTAAAAATGTCTCCAGAGCTTCGAAAGTCTTTAATATATGCCCTGTCCAAGCCAGAGGATTTCCACAAAGAAATCGAGGGTAGAAATCAAGAGAAGGCAACTACATGCATGGCCATGGTAACCTTTGGTGACAAAGACATGTGTGCTGAAATGACAGACCATAATCGGCCTTTGTTTATCACTGGGCTTATCCATGATGTGCAAATTTCTTGAATTCTGGTTGATGGAGGATCTGCAGTAAACCTCTTGCCTCGGAGGGCCTTAAACTTATTAGGGGTTCGAATTTCACAACTTCGCCCAAGTCGTTTGGTCATTCAAGGATTTAATCAGAATGAACAACGCCCAATGAGGAAGATTGAATTGCGAACCAAGTTTGGGGATATTGAAGAAAGCACTGAGTTCTTGGTCATTGATGTAGACACCTCTTACAATGCTTTGCTTGGGAGACCATGGATGCATAATCATCATGCAGTGCCATCAACTTATCACCAATGTATTAAGTACCCGTTGCCTTCACCCAAAAGAGAGGGGACAATTGTGGCTGACAATGATCCATTTGGAGAAGTAGAAGCCTACTATGCTAATGCTCGCTTCTATACAAAGACTTCACAAAGAAAGGGAAAAGATGTGAAGAAGTCTGAAGATACTCCGAATGTCAAAGACGCTCTAGAGTCTATTCCAGTTTCAACAAAAAGAACTTTTCGATATGTGCCAAAGTCCGAAAGGAAACTGGGGGCAAAGGCTCTAGCCCCAATAAATCCAATTTTGGATCTCAAGGGTGAGTTCACGTTGCCATTAAGGAAGACAGAATGTACCTATGTGGAGAAATATAATAAGAATGTGGTCCCTTCTAAAGGAAAAGGATCGAAACCCATCATATTCCACTCACTTGGAGATGTTGAACAGAAAGTGAAAGTTGAACAAGTGCCAGAAGAAAACATCTCGAGTTTTGAGAAGCCTAAATTCAGTGCAGAAATTACACAGATGTTGGTGAAAGTTGGTTTAGAACCTGAAAAAATACCAGAAACAATGACACCCTTTGACTTTGCATTAACACCTTCGCAGAGGCAAGCTATACAGCAAGGCGGTATTATCACCGCTAGGACATAAGGGTTAGGCTATCGGGGTGATGAGGAAAAATTTCCAGTAAACATGACTATCACTCACGATGTGTCGGAAGATGTTGACCAAGATGAAGCTCAACCTGCACAAATAGAATTTGAAGTAGGAGGTCAAGCCACTGTGGATGACATTCGTGAGGTAAATCTGGGTGATGAAGGAGAAAACAAACCAACCTTCATTAGTGCAAATTTAAAGGAAGAAGAAGCTCGACAATACATTTCCTTCTTAAGGGAGTATCGTGACATATTTGCATGGAACTACAATGAGATGCCCGGTCTTAATCCAGAGATTACAGTCCATAAGCTTGCAATTCACCCTGAGAATCGGCCAGTTAAGTAGCCTCAAAGGCGAACTCGACCAGAGCTTACAGCCCAAATTGAAACCGAAGTCGACAAGCTTATCAATGCAGGATTCATCAGGGAAGTCAAATATCCAACCTGGCTAGCAAACATAGTGCTAGTCAAGAAAAAGAATGGTCAAATCAGGGTTTGCATTGATTTCCGTGATCTCAATGAGGCTTGTCCTAAAGATGACTTTCCTTTGCCCATCACTGAACTTCTTGTAGATGCAACTACTGGGTATGAAACCTTGTCTTTTATGGATGGATACTCAGGATACAATCAAATCCTAATGGCACCCAAAGATGAAGAAATGACTGCATTTAGGACTCCGAGAGGAGTCTTTTGCTATAAGGTAATGCCTTTTGGCCTAAAGAATGCTGGGGCCACGTATCAAAGGGCAATGACTGTAATTTTTGGTGATATGCTCCATGGCACCATCGAATGCTATGTTGATGATCTTGTCGTCAAGACAAAGGAAAAGGAAAACCATGTGGAAGATTTGAGAAAAATCTTTGAACGTTTGAGGAGGTACAAACTCAAGATGAACCCACTAAAATGTGCATTTGGAGTTCCATCAGGAAAATTTCTTGGGTTTGTGGTTCGAAACAAAGGGATTGAAATTGACCCTACCAAGATTAAAGCCATTGCCGAAATGCCTCCTCCACGAAATTTAAGGGAATTGAAGGGGCTACAAGGGAGATTGGCCTATATCAGAAGATTTATTTCTAACTTGGCGGGTCGATGTTTGCCATTCTCAAGATTGATGAAAAAGGGTGTTCCATTTGAATGGGATTAGCAGTGCCAAAATGCTTTTAATAGTATTAAGGAGTATCTTTGGAAGCCTCCAGTACTCATGAGCCCAATAAAAGGGAAACCACTTTTGTTGTACATAACAGCCTTAGATGGTTCGTTAGGGGCACTGTTAGCATAACATAATGAGCATGGGAAAGAAAATGCCTTGTATTACTTGAGTCGTACTTTGGTTGGGGCAGAAGTTAATTACTCCCCTATCGAGAAGACATGTCTTGCCTTGGTGTTCGCCTTGCAAAAACTAAAGCACTATGTCTTGGAACACGAAGTCAAGTTGATATCAAGAGCAGACCCTTTGAAATATATACTTTCACGGCCCATATTTTCAAGAAAAATTGCAAAGTGGGCTGTAATTCTCCAACAATTAGCAATTGAATATGTTCCCCAAAGAGCTGTAAAGGGACAGGCTCTAGCAGATTTTTTGGCAGCACATCCTATACCTGATGACTCACCTCTAGTAACTGATTTACCAGATGAAGAGGTTATGCAAGTAGAAATTCAGAAAGGATGGGAGATGTATTTTGATGGAGCTTCAAGAAGTCCAGATGGCAAGAAGGAAGAAAATCCTAAAAACAATAAAGCTGGAATTGGAATTGTGTTTGTGACTCCAGACAACGCTATAATCACCCATTCTTTCACCTTAAGTGAAGGATGCTCCAATAATGAGGCAGAATATGAAGCTGTAATTGCTGGATTAGAATTGGCATTACCAATTTCTATTGAAGAACTCTCAATTTATGGAGATTCGGAACTGGTGGTAAAGCAACTCCGTGGAGAATACATTGTTAAGAAAACAAGTCTCATCCCGTATCATGAAAGGGCTGATCAATTGCTTTCGCAATTCAGAAAAACACATATTTTCCATGTGAAGAGAAGAACAAATGCTCGAGCTGATTCACTTCCAAGTTTGGCTGCATCACTCACCCTACCAGATAGCAAAACAATTACTATCACGGTAGGTGAAAGAAGGGTGTTACAACCTTTAAAAGAGGTTTCTGACTTGGTTCCAATCATGGTTGTCACCATGAAAGGAGAAAACGAGGAGGATTGGCAGGAACCATTCATAGCTTACCTCCAACATGGTAGGCTACCTGAAGATAAAGTAAAAAGAATTGAAGTGAGACGCAGGGCTACCAAATTTGTCCTGTGGAAAGATGGAACGTTATACAAAAGGTCTTTGGATGGAATGTTCATGCGGTGTATAGCCAAGGAGCGTATTCAAGAGGTAATGGCAGAAATACATGCAGGTGTATGTGGGGCACACCAAAGTGGTCCTAAATTACATATGCAGCTAAAACGGTTGGGATACTATTGGCCGACTATGATTGCAAATTGCATAGATTATGCTCGAAGATGCCAAGTCTGCCAATTCCATGGGAACTTTCTCCACCAACCCCCAGAACCTTTACATTTAACAACTTGTTCTTGGCCATTTGCAGCATGGGGTATGGACATTATTGGTCCTTTTGTACCTCCATCTTCTGTACGGCCAAACAAAAGTCAAACACCCACCGGTGGTATTGTATGTGGTTAAACTGCTAAAATACCTCACCGAAATCTAAGGTGGTAAAACATTGGATACTCCTGGCCCGCAAGAGTATAAACTGTGTACGGCCAAACAAAAGTCAAACACCCACCGGTGGTATTGTATGTGGTTAAACTGCTAAAATACCTCACCGAAATCTAAGGTGGTAAAACATTGGATACTCCTGGCCCGCAAGAGTATAAACTGTGTACGGCCAAACAAAAGTCAAACACCCACCGGTGGTATTGTATGTGGTTAAACTGCTAAAATACCTCACCGAAATCTAAGGTGGTAAAACATTGGATACTCCTGGCCCGCAAGAGTATAAACTGTGTACGGCCAAACAAAAGTCAAACACCCACCGGTGGTATTGTATGTGGTTAAACTGCTAAAATACCTCACCGAAATCTAAGGTGGTAAAACATTGGATACTCCTGGCCCGCAAGAGTATAAACTGTGTACGGCCAAACAAAAGTCAAACACCCACCGGTGGTATTGTATGTGGTTAAACTGCTAAAATACCTCACCGAAATCTAAGGTGGTAAAACATTGGATACTCCTGGCCCGCAAGAGTATAAACTGTGTACGGCCAAACAAAAGTCAAACACCCACCGGTGGTATTGTATGTGGTTAAACTGCTAAAATACCTCACCGAAATCTAAGGTGGTAAAACATTGGATACTCTTGGCCCGCAAGAGTATAAACTGTGTACGGCTAAACAAAAAAAAAAAACCACCAACGGTATTGTATGTGGTTAAACTGCTAAAATATCCCACCGAAATCTAAGGTGGTAAAACATTGGATACTCCTAGCCTGCAAGAGTATAAACTGTGTACGGCCAAACAAAGGTCAGAACCACCAACGGTATTGTATGTGGTTAAACTGCTAAAATATCCCACCAAAATCTAAGGTGGTAAAATATTGGATACTCCTGGCCCGCAAGAGTATAAACTGTGTACGGCCAAACAAAAGTCAAACACTACCAATGGTATTGTACGTGGTTAAACTGCTAAAATACCTCACCGAAATCTAAGGTGATAAAACATTGGATACTCCTGGCCGCAAGAGTATAAACTGTGTACGGCCAAAATAAGATAAATCAATGTATTGTATTGAGAAAATTTCATATAAACAAATAAATCTATTGTGTACGGCTAAAATAAAACAAATCAATGTATTGTATTGAGAAATTTCATATAAACAAATAAATCTATCATTGAGCGAAATTTCATAAATACATTATGTTCGGATGAATAAAAAAAATAAAAGTGTATTCATTCATTAAGAGAAGCCTTAGCCCTTTCAAAAGCACGTTCCACAACACTGTGTTGTCCATTCTTCTTCTTGTGTTGGCTCAAAACATTCAGAGCAGTTTGCACGTCTTCTTCTGATTTAGAAACACTCTCGGAAGCTTGTGCAAAATCACACATAAAGGATGCATGTTCCGCTTGAGTGGATGACAATTCTTCTTCAAGTTGTTTGAGTAACTCTTTGGTTTGAATAATCCTTTGATTAAGACCCGCAATGTGCTCATCCGACTTGATAATTGAAGTAGACAATTGTTCATGTTCGCCAGAAACTTTGTCGAAATGAAGCTTCTTCTCATAATATTGGGCCTCAAATTCTACAGTTGACAAGTTTGAAGAATCTGCAAGTTGGGTTTTCAAAGCAAAGCACCCAAGGAATATCTTCACCTTCTCATAAAAGGAGATGAAGTCTACACCCAAACTCTTCAAAATCATGAAAACGTTGTTTGCTACAACAATCATGCTATTAACATCCGTCATTGATTGGAGAGAAATAGTAAGACCTTTTTGAATATGGGTGGCTGCTTCATTAGAGGAAGTTCCCAAAAGAAGGTTAGATGGAGCAAAAGGTGCTTCAAGTTTGTCAAATAATTTGTTAATCCCATTTGCTTCAAGTAAGTCTGCAAGAATTTGGGCCTCTTCCGAGGTATCAGAAGTAATTTCGTCTGCCTCTTCCAATGTGTCAAAAGTAATTTCTGTGAAAATAGAAGGAGATACTCAATGAAAACGTAGAAGGTAAAAACAATATATATATATATATAAGGACTCAATCCGTTGGGGTGACGGACACGTTCACTGCCAAGGACTCAATCCGTTGGGGTGACGGACACGTTCACTGCCAAGGACTCAATCCGTTGGGGTGACGGACACGTTCACTGCCAAGGACTCAATCCGTTGGGGTGACGGACACGTTCACTGCCAAGGACTCAATCCGTTGGGGTGACGGACACGTTCACTGCCAAGGACTCAATCCGTTGGGGTGACGGACACGTTCACTGCCAAGGACTCAATCCGTTGGGGTGACGGACACGTTCACTGCCAAGGACTCAATCCGTTGGGGTGACGGACACGTTCACTGCCAAGGACTCAATCCGTTGGGGTGACGGACACGTTCACTGCCAAGGACTCAATCCGTTGGGGTGACGGACACGTTCACTGCCAAGGACTCAATCCGTTGGGGTGACGGTCACAATCACTGCCAAGGACTCAAGCCGTTTACTTCCATTGAGAGAACAATCAAAAGATTTGGTAGGAGAAGGAATTTCAACACTCTTAATGCGAATACGACCCAAGGCAGTTAATTCATACCCATCTCCCTCAAAGAGTTCTTGAATCATATTCTCATCTTTATCTTCAAGAAAAGAGTACAAGTATGTGCGAAATTGATCCATTGGGGTTTTGGTCGCTACGGTGGGTTGGGATGTTCCTGTACAATCACTGATAGACATAGTCTTTGGAAAAAGCTTTGCGAGACAAGCAAATTGAGGGCCAGAATCTACTTGCTCAAAGCTAAATCTCATTTTAAATTGAGAATTACACATATCCTCGAAAAGATGAAGGAGATCTGAAACCGAGTAACTAGACCGAGAAGGAGCAATAAGTGGTCGACTATTATCCATTTTCTGAGGTGATGATGCTTCCAGAGCAATAAGTGAAGATGATGACCTAGCTCTAGAGTAAGAAGGATTCTTCGTCTTTCGGTCTTTAATTGGCATATCCAGTTTTCTCTTGCGTGAAGATTTCGGCTGGGAATGAGTAACATATTGGAGCACGGTAAAGGAAGTTCCCAACCACCAATTGGCATAGGGCATGGTTACGTGAGGAGTAGATCGGGAGCCTGGTAACTCCAATGAGACTTTTGTACCGCAGCATAGCATATGGCGCCAATTGTAATAAAATTTAGACCACTCAGAGGGCTGCCAACAAGATACATTAAGTGGTATAGGGCATGCTTGAGCAAATCCGTATCGGTTAGGGGAGTACGGTTCAGAAATGAAATTAAATCCCATTTTAAAAGTTAAAATCCCTTGCCTCAAAGATATAAGATAGCCAAGGTGGAAAGGTGATATCCTTTCAGAGTCGACCAGAATGCCTGAAGGTTCACTTTCATGAGTAAGAGCCCTAAACTGACACTCCGTACGATAAGTTAGAAGAGAGTCCACAAATGGAAATTTATCAGTAAAAAACTGGGCAGCCGATTGGTTTCCAATAAACCCAAGATATGGCATGAAATGAATATCAGGAATCGGACAAATCGACTGAGGATCCCCATGAGAGTAAGTCTTGACAAAATATAGTGAAATCCATCCAAAAAGGTAATGCAAAGGACCTTGAATATTTTCCTTCCCAGGTGAAGATGATGATGCCATTTTACCAAGTTCCACCTGTCATTTTGGTGGCTACATGAAAGGTCGTCGGACGAATTTTCCCCGAAGAATGAGGGAAGACAAATCTGCTAAGCCAGCTTGTCAAAAAACCAGAAAGATACACATTATCAGGAATTCTATCTTTTCGTTGAAAACCACTAATTGAAGTTGGGGATTCGTCAATGAATTTGAAAGTCCAGTGGTTAAACTTCTTGGATTGACAAGAGCTGGCATAAATGTTGAAAAGCCCACGGCACGCCTTGGATGTCTGAGACGAATATAAAATGTCATTGGAGAGGGTGAACTCTTCATAAAACTCGCCACAAATGGGGAGCCCGCTAATGCGATGGAGGTCCCATAACGAGATCCCAAGTTCGCCGTAAATGGTGTGGAAAGTGTTGGTGTCGGGTGACCACCGCTCTAAGAATCCTTTGAGCAGGGCAACATTCCTAGCATAAGCAAATTGGGATACATAGATTGCAGCATAAATTCCACACTTCTTCAAAATAGGGGCAAATGTGGAAAGAACGTCATTCAACCAAAAAATCCATATAGGGGATTGCAAATGGGTAGAAATACCGCGAACAATAAAAGAATTATCCCACTTCAATTTTTCATGTTTCATTCTCTTAAGAAGAGTATTAAATTCAGAGCAGTCAAGGTCTTCAGAAAATGGACGGAGGATTGAGACAGGGAATAAACCGATTGATTTGGAGTGCCCTTTCTCGAGAATCTCACAGCAGTTTCGAATTCCTGTATAGACCAAGTCTTCGGAAGCCGTATGTAAAGGGATATAGGGGTCCAACTCGGTAGGTGACAATAAAGCAGTGATAGGTTTGTGCCGAATTATTTTCGGACCAGATTTATCCAATACATTCCTCTCGTCACGTCGAAGATATTCAAGTGTCTTTTCCATGCTTCCTAAAAAAAAAAAGGGTTAGTTGAGGCAAAATGTCCTAATATAAGGAAAGTGACGAAAGCCCCTTGCCAAGAAATCAAACCATTGGAGTGAAAGACACAATCACTGCCAAGGTTTCAAGCCATTGGGGTGACGGACACAATCATTGCCAAGGTTTCAAGCCGTTGGGGTGACGGACACAATCACTGCCAAGGATTCAAGCCATTGGGGTGAAAGGACACAGTCACTGCCAAGGATTCAAGCCACTCATTGCCATTAGGCTAGAAGGGGCAATGATACCTTCAAACAAACTCTGACGCCTTGCGTGTTGCCTGCAAAAGAGGGAAAAAGACGTGAACTAATTGCCACACAAAAAAAAAAAAAATCGTAATTCGTTCAATTAAAATTCACTTGCACGAATCACGAGGGGGCAGGCTTTGATTAGATTAGATTAAAAAAAAGAAAAAAAAAAAAAAAAACAAGTCTGTTTATATTTTTCTGGCTTTGATTAGATTAGATTTAAAAAAAAAAAAAATCTGTTTATATTTTTCTAGCAAAATCTGCTGGTACAAAAAGGGTAGCAGGAAAAGTCTTTGGGCTCATGGTTAGCAAAAAAAAAAAAAAAAAAAAGTCTATTCATATTTTTTTTTCTAGCAAAATCTTCTGTTACAAAAAAAGGGTAGCAGGAAAAGTCTTTGGGCTCATGGCTAAAATAAAATAAAAAAAATCAAGTTTGGGATTTTTTATTACGAAGACTGTTTTAGAGGGCAAATCCTTCTTTACCACACTTATATCCATTCTCTGGACAAAAAAAAAAAAAAAACTATCAAGTTCATTAAATCAGTTAGCAGAAAGCTCTGAGCCTGCAATGGGCACATCAACTTCTATTTTGCTAAAAAAAAACTTGGTCAGAGGAAGTGGTTGAAAGTGTTTCTATCTCTAAAGAGTCTCCTACAAAAAGTGGAATTAAAGGGAGTTGTTCAAAGGAGATCTCTGGATTTCCTCGGGGGAAAAGACAGAAGCTTGAGTTTCGTTTGAAAATATCAAGTTTTGATCTAGAAGAATTTGCCTTGTGTAGGAAATACCAGATTAAAGTGCATAATGATAAACCATATCATGTCATAGAAAGCTCATACAAGAGATTTTTTTTTAGTTAACACTCCCTTAATATTTGTTCCATTAGATGGCAATGATACAGTTCCTCCTTGTGACTTTGGTTCATTCTATTCTATCAACAATATAAAAAAGAAAAAAAGGTTACCAAATAGTTTGCTATTAAAAAAAATAATAACAAATAAATAAATAAATAAATAAATGAAAAAGAGGGGTATTGGTCATATGTGATCAAATTTGGTTATATGCTATCAAAAAGTGTTTATTGACATAGTAAAGTCATGTCTTGCACACAGACAGTTTTTTTTGGGCCTTCAAGTTTTACAAAAAAATAAATAAATAAAAGAGAAGCAACAAATAGGGGAGTATACCGGATTAAAAGGAATTTGAAGGATTTCTTTTGGTGCCTTCTTTAAAGTACAAGAAGAACAGCTTTTGTTGAAAAGAGAATAAAAAAAAGGGGGCTGCAAAGTTGCTGGAAATTTTCTGGAAGCAAAAAAAAAAAATCTGCTGAAAAAAAAATCTGCAGGGAAAAAAAAAATATGAATAGGTGTAATATAAAGGAAAAGTCTTGCTTAAGAAAAGAGGTTGTGGTCTCCTAAAATACTTCAAAGAAGCAAGAGTTTAGGTAGGATTTGAAATACTAAGTAAGAGTTTGTGTTGGATTAGAAATCCTACCAATGCCAATCCATCCTATTCCATTTAGATAAACTCCTAAAATATATATAGATATATATATATATTTGCTGTAAAAAAATCCTAAAAAATAATAAGTGGCAAGTTGGAGGCCCACAAAGAAAAGGGCCCATTAAAAAATGGTGGCCTAGAAAAGGAAAAGTCCATGATGGTCTAGAAAAATCCATGATGGCCTAGAAAAAAAATCTGCTGTAAAAAAAAATGGTAGCAAGTTGGAGGCTCACAAAAAAAAAAGGCCCAATTTAAAAAAAATGGTGGCCTAGAAAAGAAAAGGTCCATGATGGTTTAGAAAAATCCATGATGGCCTAGAAAACAATCTACTGCAAAAAAAATGGTGGCAAGTTGGAGGCCCACAAAAGGAAATACCCGATTAAATCTTGGACCTTACTCATGACCCTTCAAAAAAAAAGGGTGGCAAATTGGAGGCCCACAAAAGGAAATGTCCAATTAAATCTTGGACCTTACTCATGACCCTTTAAAACAAATAAAAATAAAAAAATAAAAAGAAGATCAAGTCCACAAAAAGGATCCATGCAACAAAAGTAAAAGGGCTCATGAAAAAGCCGTCAACCCAAAAAACCAAAAAATAAAAAAAAATAAAAAAATAAAAATAAATAAAAACTAGAGACCAAAGCAAAGAAATAATCCCATCCAAGACCTAAAGATCATCCAGATAAAAGTGCCAAATTGTCGTGACTCGCACAGTTAAGAAAATTCACTTGTGCAAGTCACGAGGGGCATTTGTTGGCACATAAATTTTAAACCAAATTTATGTTTAAATTTCAAATACAGTCAATGACACACATAGAACCTACAATAAGATTGTTGTAGGCAATCACTTCCCAAAATGATTAACCTGCTCCGTTGAAGTGTATAAATAAAACAACGTCTTCTCTTAACGACGCTATTCAAGATGCTCAAATGACACGTGGAGCCTACAAAAGATGACACCTGTAGAGCCTACAGCAAGGACACCACACAGGATGAAACCCCAAAGATCAATCCGGTTAATCAGATATATGATTAATCAGATAGCGCTATTATTCAAAATTCAAAATTCAAATAGGCATTATCATTCAATTTGAAATTCAAAATGAAGATGAAGCGTTCCTATCACCTGATGGCCCTCCATAAATATGAGGACCATCACACAAGACGCGTGGAGGAGAAAATCAGAAGTGGAAAAGAAGAGAGAGAGAGAAAGAAATTGAGAGCTAAACAAATCGTTACAATGAAGAAGAAGAGAAGCCTAGAGAACCCAAGAGGCTACGCTAATGGCGATGAATAGGTAAAGGGTTCCAAACCCAAACTGTATTTTGTATTCGAGGGTTCAAAACCCATAACAATCTCAATAAAATATTTCTTTTTTTTTAATTGTCTTTTGTTGTTTATTTTGTTCTTCATTAATCGGAGGTTTCATTTGTATAAATGTGTAATTAACGATCTGAAATACAGATCGGAAATAAGAACTTGCTATTCAAATAATCAACACTGTTTAGTCCAAAAAACTAAACAGTGGACGTTTGTAACATAAAATTTTAAAATGTGTTGAAACACTTCATGTTTTAAAATTTGTGTCTACAATACGTGCGACTCATGTTATTTGAGATTGGGTTCGGTTCATCTAGTCTTGGTTCGAGTCGACCCATTTGGTTCGTCTGGTCTCTGTTCAAGTCGATCGTGGTTGATCTCCCCTCTTACCAGACTTGCGATCACGGTTTGCTCTTGTTCCTCTCGATCGATTGACTTCATCAGGTTCAGTCTCTCATGATTTGGCTTCGCAAGATGGTTCTCTTTGTCGCGAAGGTCTCTCTCTCTTTCTCTCGCGACCTTTGTCTGACTCTGCCTTCTTCTTCTTGACTTCTCTCTTTGCTACTAGTTTTGGGTATTTACACTTGAAGCCCTAATTTGTTTTATTTATACTTTGACCCATAACATTCTATAAACTTTGTTTTATTACAATGCCGGACACTAAAATCCAAGCCATCAAATGCAAACTCACCGGTGGCAATTATGCCTATCGGGTCAGTATTATGAAAAATTTTCTTCTCAGTCAGAAAAAATAGGGCTATGTTTCTGGTTCTGTTCCTCGTCTATCGGACTTGAAGGCAAAAGGATATCTGACTTTCTGTGATACTTGCGCCCAAGTTCTGACTTGGTTTCATAATTCTGTGGATGACCGTATTGGAATGATGTTTTCTAAGTACAGTACTGCCAAGGAGGGTGGGATAATTTACTAGGTGTTTATTAGCAATCCAACTTTGCCAAGCGGTATGAGTTGGAAACAGCTATGCAGAGTGCTCGTTAGCGAGATCAGACTATTTAGGACTTTTATATTGAGATGACAGGACTTTGGGGTCAGTTAGCTCTAATGGAACCACTTAGTCTCAAGATACTAGACGCATATATTGAGTTTCGAGAGCAGGGTCATTTAGTGCAGTTCTTAATGGCTCTCTTCCCTTAGTATGAGGCTATTCGAGGTGACATCCTTCACCGGTCTGTTCTTCCCTCTATGGATGCTATTGTTCGTGAGTTCCTCTCCGAAAAAACCCGTCTTAAGACGACCAATCAGACTCTGCTTCCCTCTGTCTTCTTGGCTCCTACTAAGCCTCCTTTATTATTGACTCCACCACCTCATTCGCTTCAGGCCACTGCGAAACCCAAGAAAGGATCATTAGGTCCAGATGAGTGTGCTTTTTGCCATCAGAGGGGTCATTGGAAGAACAACTATCATAAGAAGGGACGTCAACCTGCTCCGTTTTCTCAGAAACAGTTCCGCGGTCCTACTCCTGGTCCTTTCCGACCTTCTACCGCTTATACTACATCTGTTCCGGCTCCCGATCTTGACTTGGCTTCCTTGAGTGCTCAGATTGCACAACTTCAGTATATCCTGTCCACCTCTTAGCTATACCCATTTGCCTTCACTCTTACCTCTCTTCATTTAGGTTTGCTTGGATCCTCTTCAAGTATCTCTTATTTGTCTGGCTTTTTGATTCTGGTACCTCTCATCATATGACTCCTCACATTTCCTTACTTCAAAATTGTATTCCCCCATCCATTCCTATTACTATTAATACTGCTAATGGGTTTGGTATGTCTATTCTGTCTATTGGGTCAGTCTTACCCTCTGCCATGTCTGCTATTACTATTCCTTTTGTTCTTTATGTCCCTCAACTATCTGTTAGTTTATTATCTATCAGTCAATTTGATGCTTCTAGTTTTGATGTTATCTTTTCCTCTTCTGTCTGTTGTGTGCCGGATCGGGTGTCCAAGAAGCAGATTGGGACTAGTCGTAGAGTTAGAGATCTCAATGTGGTAGAGCTTGCATCTCCCTTCATCCGCCTTTCCAACTGCACTTTGTTCGTTTTAGTTAGATTATCAGTTGAGTCAGTTTCACTTATGGCATTTTCGCCTCGGTCATTTATTTGTTGATCGCTTACGGTCTTTAGCTCAGTCAGGGTTATTGGGTAAAGTTTCTCCTAGTCAAATTGATGAATATCGGGGGTGTACATTGCCAAAACGTCAGCTTTACCATTTAATAAAAGTACGTCTATTTCTGTTTCTCCATTTTCTCTTGTGCATACTGATGTCTGGGGACCTTCTCTAGTTCTTACTAAAGGGGGTTCTGCATACTATGCGTCTTTTGTTGATGATTGC